CCTCCAAAATAAGTAAACGCATCTCCTTTGTTGATGTTCTAGATGAGGAGGTATATAATGTTTTAAGTTAAATTCTGGAAGTCTTTGATATAAATTAATAAAGAAAATATTTGAATCCTCAGAAACAAGTAATATATTTTTGTGTAACTATTACAATATAGAACACAAAAGATTTATTCTGGAATCTGGCATTATTTTCCGAGCAACCTAGAAGGTTAGTACTACCAGCTGCAATGCATCCCATGTACTGTCTAAATTTATTTTAGTGATATTACGTTTTCAGCGATAGAATTATCTTGTAAAGAAGCTTGGTTTTCATATAAAGTTTCAAAGTAAGGTAGCAGTTTAAAAAAAGTGATTATTTTCAGCGAATGACGCCAAATTAATAGTGTTAACTCTTAATAAACCAACATAAGCTTAAACATTTCTTTTCCTGTTTGCTGAATGATAGATTGTCCGTCGAATACGATATCACGTTTAGCACAAACTATTAAAAATGACTTTGCACTCATTGAAAGCACACTGGAAGAAACTCCTGGGAGTCTGAGAACTCTAGTATCCAAACTAGTTCAGACTTTGAGATCATTCACTTCTCGCGAAATACTCAGAAACACCTTCACATCGCGTTTAAATCGATAAGTCATTCAAAGCTAGTGAGAACCTGTTGTGTATTTTATTTAACATTTTATGTCGGGGCGTTACCTATTGTTGAATATATATTCTTAATGCTAGTCCTGTGAACACGTGGTAATTGCTTCGACTCAGCTACCGTTTACCGGGCACGATTAGGAAATGAAGAAAAAATTAAGAATAAATAAAAATAAATTACTCGCCTTAAAACATGATTTCTATTTTTCTGAAAAAATGGGTAATCTGAAAGAGTACTGCAGCTAATTGTACCGAAAAATCTGTTCAATTTAATAATTGAATCATGTCTCAGATAGTTGTCAGTTTTAAAGTTTAGCGTAGTCTGGCACAAGATCACAAATATGGAGCCTCAAGTAAAGATGTACAGAATTTATTTTACAATTTTAAAATATAAAAAATTTAATATTAAAATATATTGATTTATATATTTGAACTTATATTTAAATAATATTAAAAATTTTAATATTTTATAATTTTACGGAATTTACAGATGTACAGAATCATTGTTTTCAGAGCATTTCAGTTTTAAAGTTTAGCGTAGTCTGACCAAAAGATCACAAATATTTTTTATTAAAGTAAATTTTGGAAATCACTACTCAAAAGGATTATAGGAGGAATACAACCTAATTTTCTCATCCTTTATTTGTTTTTGTGTTAAACGAAATTAATTTTCAACAAATAACTAAATGGCATTATCAAAAAGAGTTGGTTAAAACGTATCTGGCTCCCTGGTAGCTGGGAGTCCAATTCTTAGGTCTGTTAGTTTTTATCCATTAACCAATTCAATCTCTGGTTCAGAAGAAATGAAAAACACTAGTGAATGTTAACTGAGATGAAATATCTCCTAATCATGAAAAATAGAATGCATAAAGGATTCAGTTCGAAATTACAAGGACGTTACCGAAGAAGGCCGGAGTGTAAAACGGTCAAAACATCCTAGTCTAAATAGCAGAGTATATAATAATTCCTCATCTCAAAAATGTCGACAAGAATGAAGAGTATGTAATTATTTGTTTCATTTTTTTTCCAGTAGAGTTATGACCCACAATTGATTCATTTGCATTTTTAATAAATCTCATGAAATGTCTGTGATGAGTTTCATAAGAAAGAAGCTCCTCAATAAATAAATTAATTATATATATATATATATATATATATATATATATATATCCAAGTATAGAATTGGTGTATACGGAATAAATTCCAATAACCAACAATTACTATTAAAATTATAAAATTATAGAGCAGATATAATTATTATTTAAAATTAATAGAATAAAGAAAAATCACTACAAAAATAGCCATTTTGTTTCAACACCAGAGATGATGTTGAATGTAGAATCCACATTCAACATCATCACTTGGCTATTTTTGTAGTGATTTTTAATCATATTTATGTTATAATTTTAAATAAATAATTATATAATATATATATATATATATATATATATATATTCGGCCATAACGAAATTTAAGGACTTCATATTATTATTTTGGTTTTCCACCCAAAACATTTAAAGGGCTTTAATAAAATGTCAATGTAAAGACGAACATACTATTTGTGCATATAAACCTGCAAAATGCCGAAGAAATGTTTGCCTGCTTATTTCTTGTGATTTTTTAAAAAGTTTAGTAAAAGTCTATAAAACAAAACAAAAACGCTTCATAAAAAATAAGAATTGTACAGAAGCAGGACTGGTTATATTTGTTTTTAAAAAAAAAAAAAAAAACTTAGAGAAACCAAAACCAATGTAATAAACCGAGAACAAAGAAAGGATAGAAACTGATAAATTTAAAGAAAGAAGTTATCAAAGAAAGAAGCAGAAACTGATAGAAACAGAGTAACTGTAAGTTCTATTCTAATAGTTTCTTTTCTCGCCTGTGGAAACCTGTTCCGGTTTCTGATTTCCCTACCACCTAAAATGTTAATAAATATAAATACAACGCCAATTGCCATCTTCATTCTTCCTGAAAACTGTTCTTTTATTGTCTTAAAGTCTCTTCTCATTCTCTTTCACTCTAAGTAACCCCTTCTGTTTTAATAGCATTATCACCATTAGAGAAAGAAACAATTAGAAAAAGTGGGAAACCAAAAAAAAAAAAAAAAAAAAAAAAGATATAAGGAAAGAAAGTTATAACGAGGTGGGGGAGAAACAAGACACAAATGGAAAGACGAAAGAAATTTAGAGATGGAGAAACAAACAAACTGGGGAAAACAGAAGGAAACCAAAGAGTGAAAAAAGAAATCTCAAACAAATAAAATGTAACGCCGGTGGGGTAGGGATAAAGAAGAGACAGAAAGATAAAAATTTAAAGGAAACAAGAGAGAAAAAGAAAAATCGACAGTAATGGAGAGAAAGAAAAAATAAATTTAGACAAAGAAAAAGTAATCCCCATAAAAATAAAATAAACTTATAAAAAATCAGTGATAGAAAAGAAACAGAAGAATCAGAAAAACAAATAAAATTAAAAAAAAAAAACGCAAAAGAAAAAAAAAAAGAAACTCAGTTACAATAAAAATGTACAAAGGAAAGCTAGAAGAAAGAACTGGGAATAGAAAATCTAATGAAAAGGAAGATTAGTGAAACAAATTAAAGAAAAAATTAGTCAAGACAATAAAATCGCAAATCCAAAAGATTGATCCTAAAATGAATAAAAAAATAAAATACAATTGGAAAAAAAAAAAGACAAAAGCGTGGAAAAAAAAAAGGCAAGATCAAGATCTTGCGTCTCAACATGGCCATTTAGTTGAACTTTGTGTCTCCCTGGTCACACATTTTAATCCTTTAACACCAGATTACCGAGCGTTGTTGTATTGAGCTTAATAGAACCCAAACGTTCTCAGTCTTAACGGCGGGCTTTTGTATTTTTTGTTTTTAAATTTTTTCTTCATATTTGCTATCATTTGTCTCTTTATCTTTGTGTCATTTCTTTCCATGTATAAAATATTTTTTCTTTCTTTATCAATTTCTTGTGTTTTCTTTGCTAGTCACCATAATCCATTTGCATTTTTTTAAGGACATGGAATGATTTATACAAAGTCCTTTGAGAAATGCACAAGTCACAACAAACCTCAAGTCACTACATCAAATAAGTCCCTCGCTTTTAATTGCCACATTACGTCGGGTGTAGATGGCACTTAACGAGACAGCGGATAAACTAGAATATCAAGTTTTTACTGTTTGCAATTCGGAAGCTTTTTGAAACGCACTAAATACATTTGATACGCAAGAATCCAAACAATTATTGCCCTTAAACATCCGCTTCGATGTTGTGGTTGACAAATGAACAAAATGTCTCGCTGGCTACGTCCGCTGCCATAATGTCCTCCTTTCTGTTTCCCATTGTAAAATGATATACCGGATGCGTTTCTTCTGTTTCGGCATGATCGTAAAGAAACCGGCAATGAAATGTCTGGACTAATTTCTGTAGAATTTATTATAAAAAATGGCTTCTCCACTTTGTTGTTGTTGTTATTATTGTTAATCGTCGTCATCATCATTATTTTTGTTGGTGCTTATTTATTCATTTTTTTTTGTTATGAGTTAGAGGGCAAAACTTGAAAAATAAAACGAAGCAGGTTAAAAGTACATAAACATGGCTCAAGAAAAAAGAAGACAACAGATGCAAGCAGATAATTTTCCAAAGTATTTATCAGTACCAGGAGTACCATTAAACTACAAGAAACATCAATCAATACCATACACTTGTGATGAAGACTTTCAAAATTGCTCCCGACAGTTTGTCCTTTGAGTTATTAAGCTTTTTCCGGAGTAGTTTTGTTTATTTTACGTCTATGCTATTTATTTATTTATTGTGCATTTTTCAAATAAAATAAATATAAATATGAAAAGAAAAATGCTGAGTATCGTATTAAAAATAAAGAAATGAAAGAATTACAAATTTATGTGTGTATCACCTTTCAAAAATGAACTTTCCGGAAAGATCTTAGGATTATTACACATTTTATGATGGGCATTATATTTGTTCCTGAGGGCATCTTGCGTCTGTTAGAAGGGCAGCAATTACTGTTAAAGTCTGCGGCCTCCATGTTTTAACTGACACTATTTTTTATTTATTTTTTATTTATTTTTTTTTACAAATATCAGTTTGAAGACATTAAAATGTTCAGCTTTTATTTTATTTTTATTTATCTTACTTTTAATTTTATTTCGTTTTTATTTTTTATTTTTTTACGTTCTCCTTATGTATTCGCTTAATTTTGTCTTTTTCAGCTCAAATTCTGCGTAAAAAAGAAATGGAAAAGTTTACGATGTAAAATGCTTTCGGTCAATCAAACTGACACAATTGCTCTTGAAAATAATAACTGAAAGCATTTTTCATTCTAAATTATGTTACGAGTGCATTATTTCAAAAGTGATGGTAGGCTTCTTTTTTTCCTTTTTTCTTTTCACTCTTTATGCTCATCTTCTTTTTCTTATCATTTTCAGTTTGCTCTTTTCCCCTCCTTTTCTTTTCCTCTTCATCTTATTTTTGACTTCATCTTTTTTTCTCTGCTTATACTTTTTTTTTCTCTCTCTCTCTCTTTACTCATCTTTTTTCGATTTTTACACATCTGTTTTCTCTCTCTCTCTCTGCCTCTCTCTCTCTCTCTCTCTCTGCTCCTTTTTTTCACTCTCTCTGCTCCTTTTTCACTCTTTTTCTCTCTGCTCTTTTTTCCTCTCTGCTCCTTTTTCACTCTTTTTCTCTCTCTCTCTGCTCTTCTCTCTCTACTTTTCATTTTCCCCCTTCTCTCTCCACTCTTCTCTTTTTTTCTCACTTTACTCTTGTTTACTATTCAATCTTTTTTCTCGTTTTCTCTTTTCACTCTTCTCTTTTTTTTTCTCTTTTTACTCTTCTCTTTTCACTCTTATCTTTTCCTTTTTTCTCTTTTTCATATTCCCAATCTTTTTTCCTCCTCTTCTTTTTCCTCTCCCTTCGTTTTTATTTCTTATAATTCCCCATTTTGTTTTCTCATGCATATGATCCGTCTCTTATACTTTTTTTAAAGCTAATTTATCACCTTCTCTTCCTGTCAAAACAAAATGATTGGGGATATTAGCGAGTTAATACTTGCGCATCCAATGTATTCTTATCAACTGCAAAATCATCAGCTATTTCTGTTGTTGTCACAATAATGGTTAGTTTTTTTTTTTTTAAATTTCTTCTTTCGTAGCCCTTTCCGCAGTGAATAGTTAGCGTGTATTCTTAAAAGTTATCAAGAATTCATCCGATGTTCTTCTGAGTTCTTAACAAATCTGACCCTCAATCAAAAATTAATTTTGTTCAAAATTATTTCCTAGTCGCTGGACCCGTGGAAAATTCTCCATTATGTGTCACAGAAACACTTGTCCTTTTCTTCTTGCTCTACAATAAAAGTCATTTTCGACATGATATTCATCGGTGAAAAATGAATTCACTATACGAATCCAAAAAGAAATTTGTAGTTTGATCCAGGACAGCCTTCAACTTTTAAATTTAAACCGAATCAACTGTGAAAAATCTGTTTATCTATGAGAACTGTTCAGAATTCACTGCCATTACGTAACAGTTCGGAAATCTTTTGTTTCTTATGAAATATTCCTCTGTGTAAACACATTGCTTGGTTTCTGGAAGGCTGCCTTTCTTTATTCCGTTACATATTCAGGTCTGTCAAGCGGAAAGTTATAGAAAGACAAGAAAAATATTTTCATGACTGAATAATGATTCTGTGTCGTTATATGAATAAAAAGATTGTGACCCCCCACCACTAGCACAAAAAAAAAAAAAAAAAAAACGCTGAAAAATTTTACATCAATCTCACCGGTTGATTCATTAAAAAAAATGTGAATAACCATTCTAACTGCGATCAAGTCAGTATTGTCAAAAACATTTTCTGTTGTCACTTCATTTATTTTGAGCTAAAGTGAAACGAGTTGCTCTAAAATTGCTGTAGACATCAAGGAATACCATAACTATCACTTTTTTTTTAATAGGGCAATGCGTTCTTCTGTAACAAGAGCAATTATTTTCTTTTCGAGCCGAACGAGACATTTCGTAGACCAGTTACACAACACTTAACAAGATTATATTATATATATATATATATATATATATATATATATATATATATGTAATGTGATGGATGTCTGCTCGATTCCGAGCGATGGCCACTTCGTTAAATTAACTGTCGTTTGACTCTTTCATGTAAGAAAATACTTTCAACTCAGGAAGATAATAGCAATCACCAGTATCTGAATATCAACTGTGATAATCCAGTGACATGAAGGCTCAAGATGATTGATGATAGTTTCAGCCGCGGGTCGTTAATTCAGAACTGTACTTCTCTTAGACTGGTTAGCATCCAAGGCTGAAGAGTCCAATCTGCCAGGGGAGAGGAGAGGTGAATTTCTTACCTTGCGCGAAAATGAATATCACTAACTTGACTGGATTTCGTATTTTGAGTCTCTGATCAGGACACCATCTGCGCATATACCCCACCCATACACGCCGTTCATATTTATTTTTTATTTTTTCCCTGATTACTTTCGAATGTTGCTTCATTCGTTTTCAAGGATTGTGTTTTGTGTAACTATTTCTGGTTAATCCCGACGTTCTGACGTCGGAGCCAATTTCAAGTCACTCAAGGTGACGCCATTTAAGAGGTCAAAATGGAATTTTTATGCGTATTGTTTATTTGTTTTTGTACCAATTTAGACTTTGTATATTTGTAATACGAGAGAAGTAGCTAATATTAAATAAGGTTTCTTTCTCCATGTTGTCAAGCTGGTTTCTAAGACCAGTTCATATGTCCAGCTCATTCGGTTATCGTCAGAGATCTCGGGAATGAGGTTCTGTATCAGGCTATTAAGT